TATAATTGCAAGACAATGGAAATACAACTATTTCTTTATTTGTAGATGATCAACAAAAATATAATTACAAAAGTTATTTTGTCTCATTTCAGCACGCTTGGGAACTGTGTCATCATGAACTTGATAATGGTACCAATGAGGAATATAAATCTTATGCAACATTAAATTTTAATAATAGGGCGCTTGTTTCAGTTAAAGAATGACTGCATTCAAGTCGAAATTTCTGAAGAAACTAAAATGAAGTACCTAATACCAACAACCTATGGACCTGGAGTTATCACCACTGGATTAATTGATCATCTTGTCATTAGTCATAACAAGTTCATTAGACTTTGCCGCAAATTTGTAGAAGATTCACTTAAAAAGTATGATGCATAGATGCATGCAAGCTTGTGTTTTATGTATAAAATTTTATAGAAATTGGCTGTGGCAAAGCCCAAAAGTGCCATTGCAAGAGTTAAACTCTAAGCATTTTGTGAAGTGTTCTGATGAATTTGTCAAGCTAGTCCAATCTCATAGTGTATATGTAACCTCTAATGGAAATGTTAAAATTCAAATAAATGATTTTGAAATCATTGAAAGAGATTTTGTTCAGGAATTTGCATTAGGAAAACCAATCATAACCCATGTCTTAGATATTCCTCAGGTCATATGGAAGCGTCCTGTTCACAATACACAAATTATTACAGCTGTTAAAAAGAATATTCCTCAAGTATCTGTCTAGTACAAATGTAATTACTATTATTGTATAACTTTCTAGCAAGCACTGCCTCCTCAAGTCCGGTCAGGGATTCTGATGGATCTCAAAGATAACTTAGCAGAGATGACAGATATATGTGAAATAATTGAGACGGTAATGAGGTTCCTTCAAATCAAAAAAGAACCAGCAAAAAAGAAATTAAAAGAATATGTAGAGAATGATTTGATTATTGTTGGTAAACTAAGAAGTGAAAAGGTATAAATCTAATTAATTACTTAAATTTATGTATGTTTATTGCTTAGGTTACTGATTTCTGCTGCTTAGAGCATGTTGTGCCATTGTGGAGGTTTTTGAATGCTGAACGTGCTAAATATAGAGTTCGAAATGAAGAGGTAAGATCATTGAGTATAGTGAACTAGGATAAACAAGTAAAACAACTTTTGGGAAATTACAACAACTTCAGAAACTTATATAATTGAAGCTGAATTATAAGCACACTCTATAAATGTAGGTGAAGGTGCTGCACAAGCAAGCATCTTTAATAATTATTTAGCATAGTTTAAATTTATAATGTTCTTAATTTTAAAGATATGCTTTACGGTAAGTTAGATAGTAAAAAATCTCATTTTACCCAAATGACCCTTAAATTAATTTTATTTCACTATAATAGGATCCATTCACTGTTAAACAAGAATTTATGGAAGAACTAGATGTCAGTTTATACATTCACTATTTTTATAATGTATGATTCTAAAATTCAATTTAGGATGAACAAAAATTGTCCCTTGAAATGGCAATCAGTAAAATGACTAACATAGATAACATGTTAGAAGTGATTTATGAGATGATACAGACCTATGTACAAACATGTAATCTGGAAGACAAGCATAAGCAGTAAGGGCTATTCTAAGATTAATTTTAACTGTTATATTTAATTATTCTAATTAGTTTGAGAGTAGTCTTGTTTGACTATGTGCATCAAACCAAATCTGAGCCCATTTCTCACCTTATGGAGTTCTTTCCTCCTGATATTAAGCTTAGTCAAGTTGTCTGTACATGGAAGGAAATAGTTCGTCTTCAAGATGCAACAAAGAAAAAGATTCGTTAACTTTTACATATAATTAATTATAGGCCTTATTAGTGTTATTAATAGCT